AGTCTTTCAGTTTCAGGTCTTCTTTTTAATTCTTTAATCCATTTCTAGTCGATTTTTTTTGTATATGGTGTGAGAGAAGGGTCCAGTTTCATCCTTTTCCATGTGGTCATCTAGTTTTCCCAAAACCATTTATTGGAGAAAGTATCTTTTCCTCATTATGTGTTCTTAGTATGCTTGTCAAAGATCAGTTGACCATAGATGTACAGATTTATCTCTGGGCTCTCTACTCTGTTACATTGATCTATATGTCTTTTTTATGCCAGTAACATATTGTTTTGACATATCTTTGTAATATATTTTGAAACCAGGAAGTGTGATGTCGCCAGCTTTGTTTTTCTTGTTCAGGATTGCTTTAGCTATTCAGGGTCTTTTGTGGTCCCATATTAATTTAGGATTGTTTTTTCTATTTCTGTAAAGAATGCCATTGGGATTTTGATAGGGATTACACTGAATCTATAGATGGCTTTGGATAGAATGGACACTTTAACAATGTTCAATCCATGAACATATAATGTCTTTCATTTATTTGTGTCTTCCTTAAATTCCTTCATCAGTGTTTCATACTTTTCAGTGTACAAGGCGTTTCCCTTCTTGGTTAAGTTTATTCTAAGTATTTTATTCTTTGTGTTGCTATTGTGAATGGGATTGTTTCCTTAATTTCCTTTTTGGATGGTTTCTTGTTTTATGTATAGAAATGTGACTGATTTTTGATATTGATTTTATATCCCTCAACTTTACTAAATTAATTTATTCTAAGTTTTTGTTGTTGAGTTTTTAGGGTTTTCTACAAATATGATCATACATCTGTAAACAGATCATTTTATTTCTTCCTTTCCAATTTGGATGCCTTTTATTTCTCTTTTCTTGTCTCACTGCTCTGGCTAGAATTTTCAATACTATGTTAAATAGAAGTGGTAAGAGTGGGTATTCTTGCTTTGTGCTGGATTCTCAAGGGAAATCTTTTAGTTTTTTCCCCATTAAATATGGTGTTAACTGTGGGGTTTTTTTTTTCAGATGGCCTTTTTTGTGTTGAGGTAAGTTTCTTCTGTATTTATTTCCTTGAAAGCTTTAATAAATGGATGTTAAACTTCACCAAATGCTTTTTCTGCATCTATTGAGAACATATAATTATATTATATGTTTATTATATTAGTAGTAGTAGTATATATTATTATCAGGTTGTTTGAGATTTTTCTTGTTTCTTAATACAGGCACTTATTGCTATGAACTTCCCTCTTGGAACTGCTTTTGCTGCATCCCATAAATTCTTATTTGTTGTATTTCCATTGTCATTTGTCTCAAGATATTTTTTTATTTCTCTTTTGATTTCTTCTTTGAACCATTGGCTGTAAGTAGCATGTTGTTTAACCTCCACATATATTTTAATTTTTCAGTTTTCTTCTCTTATACTATTGTGGTCAAAAAAGATGCTTGAGGGGCACCTGACCAGTCAGTTAAGCGTCTGCCTTCAGCTTAGGTCATGATCTCAGGGTCCCAGGACCGAGCCCCGTGTTAGGCTCCCTGCTCAGTGGGGAGGATGCTTCTCCCTCTCTATCTTCTACTCCCCCTGCTTGTGCACTCTCTCGCTCACTCTCTCTTGCTGAGTCAAATAAATAAATAAAATCTTTTTTTAAAAAAGATGCTTGATATTTCAATCTTCTTAAATTTATTAAGACTTCTTTTGTGGACTAATATGTGATCTGTCCTGGAGAATGTTCCATGAGCACTTGAGAAGAATGTGTATTTTGTTATTTGTGGATGGAATGTTCCTGTATATATCTGTTAAGTTCATCTGGTATAATGGGTCATTTAAGGCCAATATTTTCTTATTGATTTTCTGTCTAGATGATCTATTCATTGATGTAAGTGGGATATTAAAGTTCCCTGCTATTATTTTACTGCTATTTCTCCCTTTAGGTCTGTTAATATTTGCTTTCCATATTTAGGTGTTCCTATGTTGGATGCATAAATATTTATAAATGTTATATCCTCTTACTGGATTGACCTCTTTAATCATCATGTAATGCCCTTCTTTGTCTCTTAATACAGTTTTTGTTTTAAAGTCTATTTTGTCTGCTACCCCAGTATAGCTACCCCAATTTTCTTGGTTTCCATTTGCAAACAATATCTTTTTCCACCCCTTCACTTTTAGTCTGCGTGTGTTCTTACATCTGAAGTGAGTCTGTTGTAGGCAGCATATAGATGAGTCTTGTGCTTTTACCCATTCAGCCACTCTATGTCTTTTGATTGGAGAATTTAGTTCATTTTCATTAAAGTAATTATTGATATCTATGTACTTATGGCCATTTTGTTAAAAGCTTTCTTCCTTTGAGATTTGATGACTTTCTTCAGTGATCTCCTTATCTCTTGTGTTCCTACTATAGGTTTTCGCTCTGTGGTTACCATGAGGCTTACATAGCTATAACAACTTATAGCTATCACATTCCAAATCACATTCTAGAGCTCTACAGTTTTACTTCCCCACCATTTTTTATATCATCTTACATCCTTTTTATCTTGTGTCTTCTTTAATCATTATTGTTACAGTCCTTTATCAGATGGGTCTTTTGCAAATATGTTTTCCCAGATTGTGGCCTGCCTTCTACTTCTCTTGATACTGTCTTTTGCAGAGCAGAAGATTTTATTTTTAACGAAGTTCAGCTTATCAATTACTTGTTTCATGTACATGCCTTTGGTGTGGTATCTAAAAAGTTATCACCATACTCAGGGTCATCTAGGTTTTCTCCTATGTTATTTTCTAGGGGTGTTATAATTTTGCATTTTGCATTTAGGTTTGTAATTCATTGAGAGTTAAGTTTTGTAAAAGTAATTTTGGTATTTCTAAGGTATGATATAGGTTTCTGGGATTGGAGTCCTAGTTTACAACATCATGGCTATAGGAACTAAGGGTTTGATTTACATGAGCTTGCTTTTTAACCATCCAGGAATCAGGTCATATGTTGGAGATTATCTGCTCAAGTGGTTCCCAAACATCTCTCTTTAAATTGGTTTCACTAGAATGAGATGGTTAGATAGTTAGGTTAGATAGTTAGGAAAAATTAATTCTCAGGAGCAAATAGTCAAAATAAGGGTATTATGGCATGTGGACATGATTGATCATTATATGCTATTACTGTGGAGTATTTAAGGTTTTAAGCATTTAAGTTTACTTAAGGGCTCAAAGAGGGACTCAAAACTTTAACAGAATTTAAAGGAGATGGTAGTCAGACTACTTTTGCCATTGTTTCAAGAACTGACCTAAACAATACACCAATGCTAACATTTGAGCATGGTGCTACCCTTCTAGTGGATGGAAGCTTTGGAAAGATTCTTTATCCTCTGGCAAGTATCACTTTATGTTAACTGTACTATGACCAAGCTTGAGATTTTAGATTCATTCTGAAAGTGTTTCATAACTATTTTTGTATTTTACAATGACATATAATAGTAACCCTTGAAATATTCAAAAAACATTGTATTTGTATTTTTTAAAACTGCATAATAAATATTACTTAAGTCATAAACATCAATAGAATCAGCTACAATATTCCTGTTGCTCAATGCCTACAGGCCACATTGACAAAACTGGCTGGAAAAAAAACTTAGAAAAAAGTAACAGTTAGGAATGGAGAATGGGAGGGGCTGGGAAAGGGACCAATGATACGGATTATGTCATTTGCATTGAAAAACACTAAATACACTCTCACATCTTTCCTTACCCAACAGACTCAGCTTCAACCTTCTCCTTGTTTTTACCTAGTTTATAAGTATTGCTTTATTAACAACCAAAACAAACACTTAGAAAGAAATGGTGAATTACCTTCTCCTTATGTCATAAGTTCATGTCCAATGCAGCATTTTGTGTACCGATTATAAATTTTGCCTTACTTGAGGCAGAAGGGACACAGCTTGAATTTTCAGTTTTCAGGTTGAGTTTGCAGCAGGAGAAACCTGCAAATGATCATGGAAAAATTAAATTGAAAATTAAATAATTAAACCTATCCACAGCTATCCTGAGGAAAATCCATGAAGATTTGCGTTTGGGTCACACACCTCCTGCCCCTCAACATATCCTACTCATGCTACAGCAAAACATGCCCAATCCCTTTTATACCAATTGGCATCACTCCCTCATGCGCAGCTGATCACCCCTGCCAGCACCAATTTTGTTAAGACTGTGTTTCTTTCTTCCACTCTCTGTTAAAACTACACACATTTTAACAATGGCTTTGGGCATTGCAATTCACTCTGGAATAATGACTTTACCCTTTCATTTTTGTCAGGAGGAGAAAAAGCAGTCCCAAGACAGGTTGGTAGTAGAGGAAATGGCAACAAAGAGTCATCTTTGGCAAGCCTCAGTCATACTGAGTGGCCATCATTTTCACTTTTAGAGAGCAAAAAGTAAGTAGAATATGGACTAAACTTCTCAAGCAATTTTATCAATGTTCTATTAAGGAAAACAGTCCTGGACCTGACTGATCCTTATTGTTGATATACACAGCCCTGTATCACCAAATAATTACAAACGTTCTGCCTTCATTTTTCCCATGCCAACCTAGGAAGTTTGGTGACAAATTGCTTATTTTTATTTGATAGACAAATACATGACTTAGTAATAAGAGGCAACAGCCTAAACAGAGTAGTCAAGAGGAGTTCTATGTCCTCTTGTCTCTCAGAGCTAAACAGTGGCAAATCATCAAATTTCTCTGACTCTCAGAGTCCTCTTCTGTAAAATAAGAATTTTAAACATCTCACATTATCATTTTAAGAATCAAATAAAAAATGAACATGAAAGGGCTTTGCAAAACAGAAAGTTCTACTCATTTATCATCAGTTATCCTGTTTCTACCCAGAAAGGGAGTTAAATTTGCATTAATTCACCTATTCTCTCTCAACCAGTCCTCCTCCTTAAGAACAACTTCTTCATTTCCAAAAAGATGACTTGAGTTAGGGGGCGGCTATAATAAAGCTACTTCTCCCGAAAGGAACTGGATGTATAGCTTTGGCCTAGTGAGACCATCGGGAACAAGTGGTCTGACTCTCATCACATTTATAGTTTTAAGAGGAAGCAGTTGAACTCTATGAACACTGGGTGGTTCACTTATTAGTTTATATCTTGGTTATACTTGTGAGATGGTATTAGATCATTAGGATCTAATAGATGGATGAACTCAGTTTTGTCAGGGGCTAACAGGTGTTTCACAGCTGGGAGCTTCCAGAGAGCTTAGGTGCAAAAATGAACCATGTTTTCTAAAATTAGCTCTAGTTATTCTAACATTGAAACACACTACTCCATAGAGAAATTTTTCAAAGAATATACAGGGCACTCACTCTGCAAATATAGAACTGAACACACCATTGGAATATTCAAGAGGAAGTACTGTAAGTACAGAGTCATAGTATACAGAATTCCATCTCTGTAGTTGAAATTGCATCTCTGCACACTTACAACTGCATCTGTAGTTTACTATTTTGCATAGGCTAACAAGAATTATGTCTACAGAGATTAATTACCCCAATTAAGGTGAAGGAAGATGAAACGATGCTGTGTTTATTTTTAATATTTTTGCCTGGCACCAGCTGGACTCAGTCAAACTATGAGCTTAATTCTCTGCTCCAATGGTAAGAAGTAACATGAACTATCAAAGATAACCTTTTACAGCTCAATAGACATTTAAAGGCTTTTCAAATTGCACTTCCAAAAGAAAGGGACCATTCTCTGGTACTTAGTAACATGACCAGTTCTCCCTTGAAGGACTCTGCTTGCCCATTGCTCCAGCATTAGTATTATTTTTAAACTTGCCTCATGAAGCCTGGGATAAGATAACTGATTTCCACCAAATTTTACAGGGTTTAGTTTATGTAAACGGCTTTTTTCAGGCTTAGAGGTCTGTGATGAAGTTCTGTATTGGTTAGGATATGGACCTCTTTGAACTGTCTCTGCAACTACAACGGATGTTCTCTTAGGCAAGAACTTACTTTTGGGCTTCTGAGATCACACAAGCCGAGAAACCCCTTTTCAGCATAATGCTGAATCCTTATTAGGTACTCATTAATCATTGAGTGCCTGATGTTTCCTGGGGGTCATTTGACAAGTTTTTGGCCCTGAAGCCTCTCAGAGTTATCCCAAAGTTAACTAAACGGAACTCTCTCCATTCATGAGAAAGAGGCTACCTCTCAGCGAGGAAAAAAAAAAAAAAGATATTGGAAGGCCAGTCTCAGCACAGTACATGTAGTTTTTCTCTCCTCCTTCTCTCCTCTTAAACTGTTTACTCACATTTCCCTGAAAAGTCTTTTAAAAATAACTTTTCTGAGAGAGATAAGCTTCATCCGTACCCAGTTAGATGCTGCTTTCAAGTAATAAAAAAGATGCGCCGGCAGAACTCTCTTCCGCCTGTTTACTAAAACCACCTATCACTCCCACCACTCGCTTCAAGCGGAGTTCCGCCCCTTCTGCGGAGCCCTGCCCACACCTAATATCTGCTTAGACCCCCGCCTCCTCCTTAGAGCTTCCAGCCAATCCTGTACTCCTAATGTCGTGGGACAGCGCTATCGCGAGATTCCAACTGTATCCTCCGATAGACCTTAACCGTGTGGACTTGCGCAGAAGAGACTTATGAAGCCATTGCCGGGAAAAGGGGGCGGGGCGCTCCGACGTGCGCGTTCACCTTGACCCCACGCTCCAGCGCGCACTCGGCAGCTGGGAGCTGTGATTTCCGGGCCCCCCGGGAACCCCAACACAAATCAGCATAAAGCGCGCGTGCCCATCTCAGGCGGGTGTTCGGTGGGTGGCGGATACGTGCCCAGGACCTGCGAGGCCTTTAGAAGAGCCCAGGACCTTGGTGCAGAGAGGCTCAGGAGGCTTGGCGTACCAGCCTAGGTAGGCGCTTGGGTGATGGAGGGTCAGGGGTCAGAGGTCGGGGACTGAAGACGTCTCCACACGGAGATGGAGGTCCCAAGGAGGGAAGACTCGGTTGTTCTGGAGCCCAGGAAGCTAAAGGGCTGAGAGGGAGAGGCAGAGCGAGTTTCCCCGACCCTTTCCCATCCCAGACTTGGGGGCCTCTGGACCGCCACGGCTCCCCCCGGGAGAAGAAAGGGCCGTGGGAAAGTAGTCTGTGTTTCTCTCCCGGGAGCTGGGGCCTGCGGTGTTTATTTAGATCGAGCATCCGAGGGGCTGTCGTCGCGCTCCTCGGCCTCGCGGGTAGCTTGTTTGCCCGGCCTGCTGGGAGCGATCTGGCGCTGACAGCCCAGCTCTGACTCCGTGAACCGCTTTTGAGTTTCGGAAGAAAACCCAGTGGGTATCCCCGTTCGTCACACGCACGCCCCTGGAGGCTGGATTTGGGCAGCTGCCTAGCTTCTTGGTGCGCCGGGTTGTAATGTGGTAAAGCGGAGACGAGGCTTCCAAGTTAGTCTGAAAGTTCTCAGTTACCTTTGGAGTGAGATTGATTACGTTCGTTCTCAAAACCATCCTTGTACGTTGTACATTTTGACTCCGTGGTCGTTACTAGGTTTATGAACAAAGACGTGTTACTTGATGATTGACTGTCACTTTCAGATACAGTACTATTAATTAATGGCCATTAAGCTCGTGCCTTTTTTCTAAGTGACTTTACATAACCCAGGAGGTAGAAATACTAGATGTTTGATGTTTTCCTGCTTGTATTTAAATTACCTTAACTCTTTAACTGAACAAAATAAAATATTTTTAAAGTCACTACAGCTATTTAAAATTATTTTCTTGGGTGGTAGCAAGACTTGAAATTCCCATGAATAGAAATGATCCATAGTATCTGTACTGTCACCAGAAAGGCTCATTGGTTTATGATCAGAAACCATGCTAAAAACTGAGTATTATTGAGCATCAGTGAGAGAGGTGTGCCTGTATTGGATAACCTTTCCTTCCTAGAGCTTCCCAGGTGGAGTTAGCCAATAAGCTAGCAGTTGAGAATAAAATAGTTTACTTTTGAAAGATGCTACTGTTTTATTTGCCCAAGCGTAAGAACTGCACTTGCAGAATTATTAAAACAAAACTTTTCTTAAGAGTTCAGGCTACAAAGATTTGGGGAAACAATGTGCTGGCTTTTTTTTTTTTTACTTCTTTTGAGGGCATTTTTAAAGTTTATGTAACATATTTTGGGGTTCAATAGATGAAAACACGCTCATCTTGCAAAGTTATTTCTACACAAAGATTTTGGTAATGCTAGATCATTAGGTTTTCACTAATCTGTAATGATTGGGCTTTGCTTGCATAAGGCTCACCTTGAGCAGCAGTGTGGCAAGTGTATACTTCTTATTGTTCCCAAATTCTAAATCCAGGCCTACCATGGATTTGTTGTAAGTCAGGATTTGTATGTGTCTTTTAACGAAAAGATAATAATTTGAAGGGAAAAAAAATCTGAATCTAAGTTTAATTGGTAATCATTTGTTATATTGTCTTAGTAACTTAACATTTTATGTTATTTTTCTAACAACCTGTCTTTGTTTTCTGTTGAAGATATGGGTCAGTCAGTTTTCTGTGTCTCATTCAGGGCCAGAAATAGTAAAGAATAGTTTTACATTGCGTGTAATCTTCTCAAATGTGGTTAAGAGACTCTTGTCTAAAAAGAAACATGGTACTTAAAAAGAGGGAGGGTATTCGGTATTTGGGGAGTTAGACATATTTGTTTCACCTTATTTTGTATGTCATTTCCATCTTGGCACTGACCTGGCATTGGGGGTGCAATGGTGAATAGGATACTTTCCTCCCCAGCTTTCATGGCCTTCAAAGTCATACAGTTGGGATAAAGGAGGAATGGCCCTTAACTCAGCATGCCTGGTCATGGAAGGTTTCCTGGGGAAGGTTGGGACGGCACCAGGCAGAAAAGTGTGAAAGGGCATTTCAAGCAAAAGGCTTTTTACATTTAAATGTAGGAAGGACAATTAAAATGTGGTCCATGTTTTAAAACTGCAAATAATCATGTGTCACTGAACTCTGATATTATTCCTAATAAGAAGTAGAATGACCAAAAGTGGGACTCATGTGGTATGAAGAAAACCAGGAGAAGGGTTTGGAATATGATTAGAAATATATAGAATTTTGCTAGTACTTGACTTATTAGTTCCCAGTTAACATTATGGTTATAAGTAGTTTTGATCAAGTGACCTCTTCTTGGTTCAAGAAGTTATCCCTGGATAGAAATCCCTTAAGAAAAGAGTCAGTCGGAATGAGATTTGTGTGTGTGTGTGTTTAATTTTTTTATTAACATATAATGTATTATTTAAGGGGTACAGGTGTGTGATTCATCAGTCTTACACAGTTCACAGTGCTCACCATAGTGCATACCCTCCCCAATGTCCATCACCCAGCCACCCCATCCTTCCCACCCTCCTCCCCTCCAGCAACCCTCAGTTTGTTTCCTGAGGTTAAGAGTCTCTTATGGTTTGTCTCGCTCTCTGGTTTCGTCTTGTTTCATTTTTCCCTCCCTTCTGAGATTTTTTTCTTTTTTTAAATCATGAATGTATGTTCAGTTCTGGTTTAATTGGCTGGGGTGGTACCTGGGCATCAGGATTTTTTTTAAGTTCCCCCAGATGATTCTAATGTGCAGTCAAGTGTGAGACACATAGATATATGGTCCTCCATCCTGCCACGTTGAAGTTTGTTTATTATAATATATAACGTATAATTCCGAGGATGATGGTCATAGCAGCTACCACTCACTGAATATATGCTAAATTTCTGTTAACTGTGCTATTGCACTTAGATTATTTCTAAGCATAATTCCATCATCCCCATTTTGAAATGAGAAAACTAACACAGGGAGGTTAGATGACTATTCCTGTGCCACACGTTTAGTAAATGCCAAAGCTAGAATTAGAATCTTTTCTCCTGTAAGCCACATTGCTTTGCAGATGTGAGACTCTATAGCCAGTTGCTTTGGGGGCTTTTAGAGTTAACAATTCCATAATTACCATGTTATTAATATTAATTTAATATTATGGTTGGTGTTATTACACCAACCATAATGTGACCCCTACCTCATATCCACACTCTTTGCCATAAGCAGTTCTACCCAGTAGAGAAGTATGGTACATTTCCCTACCTCTTCACTTTGGGTCCATTTATGTGACTTGCTTTAGCTCATGGAACCTTGTGCTTTTGCTGTGACCACACTTTGAAAAGTACTTGTGTGATTGGATTTACATTGTTACACCTCAGCCATGGTGATAAGTACATTTGTGGGTTGCTTTGCTGGTCCTAGGAGGATGAGAACTACATTAAGCAGAGCTGAACTGCTCCTCCAGAAACCTAGGCTAGGTCAGCCAACCCTCAGCTAATCTGCAGATCTATGAGAGAATAAATGATTGCTATCTCAAAACTTTGAGTTTTGGAGGGGTATGTTACACAGCATATTTGTGGCCATAGTTAATTAATAAGCTGATATAGCTGAACTTTTCAAAGTTCCAGCAGAATGATCAAATTCCAGTATTCTAGCCTATATTCTGATGAGAATTGGGCAAAGATAAACACATAGGTTATTAGGGGCCTCCTGTGTTATTCTTCCAAGATAATAGAGGAGATAAAATGCTTATAGTTAACCATAGTAAGAGATTGTTTATAGTTTATTACCTGCGCATTCATAAAGCAGGCACTGGCTAAGGAAACTGAATTCTCATGATTGACTTAGACCAGCACTACTTAAAACCCTTTTTGCAGTTTTGAGAATGTTTTATATTTGCACTGCCTAGTATAGTAGCCACTAGTCACATATGGCTGTTGAGCATTTAAAGTGTGGCTAGTAAGGCTGAGGAGCTGAGTTTATGATATTATTTAATCTTATTTATTTAAAGTTAAAAAGCCACATGCAGCATGGCTACTAAGAAAATAAATTCTATTCATTTATATTTTGCCAGTCAATTACTCATTTTATTTAGATTTTTCAAGTTTATTAGAATAGAGCTATTTCTAGTATTCTCTTACAATTTTATTTTTTTTTTAAGATTTTATTTATTAGAGAGAGAGAACACAAGCGGGGGGCAGAGGCAGAGGGAGAAACAGACTCCCCGTGGAGCAGGAAACTTTTTTTTTTTTTTTTAAAGATCTTATTTATTTATTTGACAGAGAGGGAACACAAGCAGGGGAAGTGGGAGAGGGAGAAGCCAGCTTCCCGCCAAGCAGGGAGCCCGATGTGGGGCTCGATCTCAGGATCCTGGGATCAGGACCCGAGCCAAAGGCAGACATTCAACGACTGAGCCACCCAGGCGCCCCAATCTTGAGCATTTTAATATAAATTTTAAAATCACTTGTCAGTTTCTGGGGGGGGGGAAGCCTTTTGGGATTTTGAATAGGGTTACTTTGTAGATCAATGTCTAGGAATTGACATTTTGATATCTTGTATCTTCCAAACCATAAAAATTCCAAATTGAGAATATTCCTTAAACTACCCTGAAGCCAAATTTTGTTTATACATCCTTTTTTTTCTTTCAAGCTACATCATTGAAATAGGTGGAATACGCATCAAACCATCATTACAACTTTATGATTTTAAGCTCTGTGAGTTGTGTGTTTCATATAGGAATTGGCTATTATTTTGGGAAAAGTGTAGTTGGTGCCTACATAATACAGGTTGCTGTCAGACCAGTTTCCTCTTCTGAGATGACAAAGCTTTCTCTTTTTTTCCTACATTTTTTCTTTTCTTTCTTCTTTTATTATCTGTGCTCCATTTCCCCTGGTTGCCATCACCATTTTATTCCTTGCCCACCTATTCTTGTTTCTGCTAACCCACAAAAAAGAAATATGTTCTTTATTTTCATTTTCTTCTTTTGAAAGAGAAAATATATTTTTAGGAATTTTTTAGCTGTGTAAGGGTCAAGTGAAGTTTTATTAACCCTTTGGGATTATAAAACAAAATTGAACTTTTGTTGTGATGATATGAGTTTAAATGTTACTAAAACTCTTCAAATACGTGTTTCCAAGATATTTGGGAGATTGTACCTTACTGTCATGCTGCTCATTAAATGTATTTTTAGAATGTATTTTATTTTATATAACACATTATCTTTACTAAATTTATCCATTAAAGGACAAGTAAGACCATCAGAATTTCTGTGATGCATGAGATTATGGTCACTGTGTTCCTTTGCTGTATTTGACTTATTTAAAAAAAATTAACCATTGCTTTACGTACCTCTCTAAGATTTCATATTACATGTGTGGGCTGTTAGTTACAGTGAATTATTCATCTGGGAGCACTTTAATACTAAAATCCTTTCTTGGAAAGCTTACTTGTTGCATTTGTCTTCTAGAGTTCATATTTGCCAACCAAGAAAACTTGAAAATGAGTAGCCGGCGGAAACGTGCTCTTCCAGTGAGAGTCGATGAGGAAAAGCAACAGCAGCTTCATTGGAATATGCATGAAGACAGAAGGAATGAACCTCTCACCCTAACTGATGATGAGCACCCCTCCGTGGGTTCAGATTTCTCTTCTGCTCACCGTATCATCCTAGATGATAGTCTAAAGGAAGAAGTGGCTCACAAAGAAAAGAAGAGGTGTTCCGAGGCAGTGAGCATCTCAAAATCAATCGATAAAGAAGAGACTGGTGGCATTTTTTCTCCTTTCTCTGTAAAGCTGAATATCGTGATTTCTCCCTATCACTTTGATAATTCTTGGAAGGCATTTCTGGGCGAATTAACCCTTCAGCTTCTTCCCGAACAGAGTTTAATTGAATATTTTTCTGAAAGGAGTTTTACATTGATGAGTTCAGAGTCAAGCAGTCATTTCCTGATCTATGTTAATTCAGAATGTGAAGATGTAGAGAAGCAAGAAAAAGGACTCAATAAGCCAATTAGTATTTGTGACAAGGGTATTCGAGTGGAATCATCTTTCAGTGGTGAAATGTTAGAAGATTTGGGGTGGCTACAAAAGAAGAGAAGAATAAAACTTTACCAAAAACCAGAAGGAAATCACATGATCAAGGTACTCAATTTCTGTGGTGTCTTTTAAGGTTCTTCTGCGTTGGGCAGTCCCATTTTGAAGTTAACTTAGAAGGAAGGTCTAAAAAGCCAGAAATAAGCCTCTCATTATTAAGTTTCCAAGTGCACTTTATTTTGGGCTTTCAATAACTGTAAAAATATACTATAGCTGATCATTTCCAGGCTGTTCTTTTTCAAGATATCCCGGATTCCTCCCTTCTGGCTCTACTCTCAGTGTCTCGTCATCTCTCTCTCTTCTGGTAGCAGTCCTTTAACCATTGCCCTGCTTATCTTTTCAACTCCATCTGCTTTGTCTCTGAATTGGTATAATGTGAATGAAATGGAATTCTGTTATTCACTGCAAAATCAAGTGTAATCTGGCACATAACTCCCTTCTTTGATAGGTCTTTGTCTACTTCTCCAGCTTCATCTTTTATCACTCTGCTTTTTATTTTGTCCCAGAAATTCCAAATAAATTTATTTCCTGCATATTTTCTGGCCGTATTTCTGCATCTTTGCTTTTGTTTTCACAGTTCTCTGCCTGGATTGTTCCCTTACTTTTCCCTAATAGCTCCTGGGCATTCTCTGATATTCAGCTCAGAGTTCACTTCTCTAGGGAGATCTTTTCTTAAAATTCATGGATGATATTACATGCCTTTCCCTATAATACTCTATACCCGTTTATTTTTGCCTTGGCCACTTGTTGTGTACTTATATTTTAGATTTTTCTCTTTCAGCAGACTATGAAGTCATTTATCTTCACAGCCTAGTAAAACCCTGTTACTGAACAGATTTTCAGCAAATGAATGAGTAAATTTATAATTCATTTCAGGCTCTGCTATTTACTAGCTAAGTAATTTTATGTGAGTCATTTAAATGCTCTAATTTCATCATCTTTCTGTATAAAATGTAAATAATAATCATTCTTTTTACTTTATACGGTCATGTTGAGAATCAGGTGAGAAACTGTAAGTAGATGTCCTTTATAAACTATGAAGCAGGTTAATATGCCTTTATGCCAAAACTTGAAAAGAAATTCTAAAATGTTAAATTCATTTTTGTTCAATTGAAAACCATGTCTTGTGTGTTTTTCTCATATTAAAAAGCAGTTGTATTAGTGTACTTTACAGAACTGTTGAAAGGAATGGAGAAAATTTAGAAGCATTAGATTGTAATTAATTCTTCCCTGGAGAATGAAGCTGTGCAACCCCTTATTCCCTCTCCTTGTTGATCATGCATGCCAAAATTGTGGCTCAGTGATAGCAAGTATGTAAAAATTCATGGCTTGTATATCTGTTCTGTCCACCTTCCCTGTAGACCAAGTCTTGATCCATTCTGTTTTCTTATCCCAATTTTTATAAATATTTAAACATTTATTGCTGTTATAATAAGCTAACTCTAGACGGACACAAGGCAGAGTACAGATAATAATGGAATATATTCTTTGTTACTCGTTCCTATATAATGCTGGGTTGGATTCTAGTTCTTTAGTAAAAGAATACGAGCCTCTCCATGATTACGGAATCAGGTCCAGGATAAGATAGGAAAATGAAGGAAAAATGCATTTATTGAGTATCTACTATTAGAAAGTTTTAAAATTGTATTAGGCTTCTCTCCATTTTGCAAATAACAGCATTTGGGTCAAAATAAATCAGTTACTTTGCCTGTTTTTTTTAGCTCTTAGATACCAATGCCAATATTCAACTTCAAATCTTTTGACTGCAGAACTTCATACTGCATTGTTTTACCAGAATCAAGATATATGACGTTAATCAGGATCTGTTTTCCTATACATTTTAGTGTCTGATCTAGTAATAGGGATTCCCAAGCCTGATTATGCTTAAGAATCCTGACATGTGTGTCAGAATCTTCTGGGGGAATCTGCATTTTTAACCAGCTTCACTGATTATTCCGATACCCATCAAGTTTGGAAATCATTGACTTGGTAGGTGGAATTGGTGTTCTCATCACATTCTCCCAGGTTCAGTCCTAGTTTAGGAAGTATTTTTTTCTAACAACTTGAGTGGTGCATCTCACATAGTAGGCACTGCATTTGTAGAATGAATTTGTTACTGAAAGTAAACATTTGTGAGGGAGATTTGGTAGGTATGTGTCTAATGTTTGTGGGACAAATACTGTGAATACGTTTAGAAACAGTAATGGTTAAAAAAGTTTTTTTCATGTCCTCATAAAGAATGTATTAGTACAATTAAAACTATGTTTATGTTGATTAATTCTTTGTAGGTTGGAATTTATCTTTTGGAAGGTGGCCTAGCAAAACTAGACTTTTTGAGTGATGCAAATTCAAGAATGAAGAAGTTCAATCAACTCATGAAAAGAGTGATGGAAAAGTTATACAATTTCGTTATTCCAGGTAAATTAAAAATTGCTGTTACTTTAAGAGTTGTGGGTTTTTCCCAAATCGTATACATAACAAGCAGAAAAACGATAAAACCATAATAAAATTAAACAGTCTCTATAAAACCACTGGTGTGACAAAACTATATGTATCTAAAATGCCCCCACTAATTCGTGTCTTTCTTTGCTAAATACTGTGCTTAGCTTAGAGTAAGTACTCAAGAAATGTTTGCAGTCAATAGAATCTAAAGGAGTCTGAGCTGATTGGAATTTTTGCATTATTCTTGTGCTTTTATTTTGTCATGGCCAGAGATTCTTGGCTGGCCTTATTCCACCTCTCCTTCGCAGTCTGACAAATAATCTCAAGAGCCTGCTTCCCATAAAGACCAGTTAACTTTCCTACTGTTTCTTGACAAGACGTTGCATCCTTGGTCAGGACTGCAGCTTCAGAGTTGTCTGCCATTAGTTCCCAAGGGGGGAGTGTGGATGGCTTGGTGCAGCCCATCAACACTACTGGAAAAACGGCTCAAGTTCTCCAAGCCCTGCTCATGGTGGGTCAGCATTATTTCAGGTGCAAATTACAGAACACTTCATACTGGAATATTTGGGAAATCAGTTTCTAAGCTTCACTGTTGAGTTGTTTTCTTCATTCTCAGCAAAGCTTCATAATACTAATAAAAGTAGGGGTGCCTGGCTGACTCAGTTGGTAGAGCATGTGACTCTTGATCTCAGGGTCATGAGTGCAAGCCTCATGTTGGACAGGGAACCTACTTAATTAAAAAGAAAAATACTAACAAAAGTAAATCATTTTGCATGTTGAAGACTTAAAAGGAGGAAAATCTCTGGTTTCAGAATTGGAAGGGATGCTTTTAAGTACATCTAGAATTTTTAAAGTTATAGTAAGAATTCTGCCTTTTAAAAAAAGTACAAGTTGGACTTTTCAAAGGAAAATGTCGAAGGATTTCAAAGGAAAACTTCAATTTAGTTATCAGTACTAGATTACACAACTGTAGTAAAAGTCTGAAAGAACCACACATATAACTAGACATTAATTATAAAATTTTAAAAATTTTAAATTTATAAATATAAATTATTAAAATTATAAAATTTTGAAAATCTCATGTGGCATATTTTTTATTGAAAAAAATTATGTATTTTGTGGTACAGTCGTCATTCTGTGGAATGTGAGGTATGTTCTGTAAAAGTGGATAGGCCTTTTGGGAACAGCTGAGAAATAAGTCATAAGCCAAAGCGGGTTTGTGCATTTATTCAAGATTTTGAATTTTTTTTCATGTTATAGTAGGCACCAGTCTTCTTCCACAGGGCAGTTGTGCCCAACAATTATATCTGATATTTTTTACAAATTTGTATTAATGGTTTAAGCACTTGTCTCCTAGTTGGCTCCTGCTACTACCAAATGCCTGTCCTTTTTTAGCATAAGAAATAAAATGGGAACAACCCTTGTCTTAATAGACATAGAAAAATTATGTCTGCATATGGATTTTTTTACGTTAAGATGTAAAAGTGAAATAAATTATCCTTTTATAAATTGCAAAAGATACATTCAAATGTTTGTTAAATATCTACAGTGGGCAAAGCACGTGCTAGCTGCTCTGAGGAGCTATAAAAACAAAAGACAGCCTTTGCCTAACAGTTCAGTGCATAAGGTAAGAATACATATAAATGATTGCACTGCCAGACAGAGTGTAGTGTGTCACTATATCCAAAGTAGAAGAGTATTACATGAACACAGAGGAAGAACATTAATTCTAACCAGGGAAAACAAAAGAAAATGCCATGGAAAAAGTTGAACTATCTTGAAAGGTAGATTTTTGATCAGCAAAGAATTAAAGATAGGGTCTTCCCATCCCAAAACACACTGAGCAAGGCCCCAGAGATGGAAAAATGCATAGTATGTTCTTAGAATAAGAATTGCTTATAGTTATAAAAGGTGGATCGGGTTGTTTTGAGTACATTTATTGTTGGTTGTGCAGATGTGTTGGAAGAGGATGAGGAAGATTCAGAGAGTGAGCCAGAGGGACAGGACATTGATGAGCTCTATCAGTTTGTGAAGCAAACACATCATCAAGAAACACAGTCCATCCAAGTGGATGTCCAGCATCCTGCATTGATTCCTGTGTTGAGACCGTACCAGAGAGAGGCTGTCAATTGGATGCTACAACAAGAGCATTTCAGAAGCACTCCTACTAGTGGTAAGTATATGCTTAAAGAAAGACAGATTGATCAGAGGGATTATATAAGAGATAGTTAGGATGGGGGACATTGTTAAACAAATCATATTGAAAAGATAGAATAGAATGGGTTTTAACTGTGAACAAAATGATAGTCTAAGAAACTCTTTAAAATTGAAATCTAGAGAAATTCATTTGTGGGTTCCCTCATCTATAAGTGTTTGAACTAATTTTTCCTGCCCAAATAAAGGCTGCCTTGATTGGAATTTTTAAAAACTAATACATTTTCTACATGCCTTTCCAACTAAGAATTGCTTTTGGAACCTGATCAGATGGGAATCTTGTTAATCGTCTGTCTCCAAGAGGCTTCACAATAATGATGAATATTAGCAACAGAAAGAAAATTTACAAAAGTGGGAGACTAATGTGTGACTAATTCTCCTCCTAGGTTTGCATTTATTTTCTTTGCTCCACAAACTAAATAAAATAAAATGTTATCTATTAAGAGTTTTCGTAGAAGTAAATTTATGGGAGTCATTTATGCCACTTCTTTATCATTATCTTTAAAGAGATAGGCACAAGATGAGATTTTTGCATGATTCTGGGAAGTGAAATGTTGACTATTTCACTCTCTTTCTGTATAGGTTTATTTTAATGATGGATAGCTCTTATTTCTCCCATAGGTTCCAGTTTCTACTTTTTTATCCAACAAAATTCTTTTTTTTTTAATTTTTTATTTTGGAAAATAAATATCCGTTTATAGCCAGCATTATTTCTTCCCACTCCCCCTCATCCCATACTCTAAATTATTTTGAAGCAATAATTTCACATATATCATTTAATCTGGTAATACTTCAGTTTATTTTATTAAAAGGGTTCCTTTAAACAGATATAAAATATATATCTTAATAATGGCTTTTTAAACCCAGTAATTCCTTAATATCATCAAATCTTTCCCCTCTCTCCCTTTTCTTCTCCCCTTTCTGTTTCTCTATTTCTCTTTCTCTCTTACAGTTTATTCAAATCTGAAACCAAATAATGTTCATACATTGGAATTAGTTGTTGTGTCTTAAATTTCTGTAATCCATAGATTTTTATCTCCTCACATTCTGTATTTTTTCTTACAATTTATCCATTGGAGAAATTGTTAGCTCTGTAGTTTCCCACAGACTGGACTATTTTTTTCTCCAAAATGAAATAACGTTTCTTTAATTAAGTAATTTTACTAAGGTAAAACTTACAGTAAAATGCACAGATCTTAAGGGCACAGTTTGATAAATTTGCACAAATCTGTGCATCTGTATCACCAGTGACCCAATTAAGACATAGAACTAGATTTTCTCAGAAGGCACTAGCCACCCATGCCTCTTGAGACTGGAAGTGGCTGTCCAAATTATGTGTTGTAAGTTTAAAATATACACCAGATTTCAAATAGTACAAAAAAAGGATGCCAAATATCTCATTAATAATTTTTATATTGATTTCATATTGAAATGATAATGTATTGGTTATATTAAGCTAAATAAAATTGATAAAATTGATTTTACCTATTTCTTTTATATCTATCTTGCAGTGCTGACATGAAATATTTCCATCACCCCAGAAAGTTCCCTCATGGCCCAGTCAGTTCTCCTACTTCACCCCCTTCAGGAGGCAACTGCTGCCACCATCAATCAGTTTTGCCTGTTTTTGAAACAATAGAATGGGAAAATATGGACACTTGAGGCAGGAAAGAAGTCGGCTCTTTCAACATGTTTTTGAGATTCAACCACACTGCATGTATCAGTAATCCATTCTTTTTTCTCCACAGAATGGATTTGCTTGATTAAATCCCATGTATCGTTTAATAGTTATGTTCCCTATGGCTCCCATAAATTGAAGCTTTTTATCTTTTAATTTTTTCATTTTACGAACCCTATATATCTGTATTCCTACTGCATCTATTAATCCCTAAAGAAGGCAACAAAAAAATTACTTGCTGTTTCACTGGTGGGTAGAAACATGCTTCCTAATTTGGCATTTGGTTTAAACAACTTAAAATTTTAAGGGAAAGGATAGTGAAAGATTTTGATTGAAATACACTCAGTACTTCAGTGTTTTAGGATACTTTTTCCTCAGCTAAGTAAGGCTTTCCTCCTACTTTCAGACCCATGTAAAAGGTTAGGTCTGATTTAGGTTAATGTATTAGCCCACTAGCATATGTTGTTGACTTATTAAAAAACTAAGCAACTTTTTGAAGGATTTATAAAGGATAAGCTACTTTCCTTTATTGGGTAGGAGTTGGTTACAGCTACTAGTTTTCTTTTCCTGTTAAACCTCTGTGATTTGCTGCACTTTGTTTTTCTATCTTAACACTTATTTATGTAGAAAATATTGGTGTCCAAAGCAAAGGAAGAATAAACATAAGAATAGTATCTGAAGAAAAGAATGAAATCCTAGCCTTTTCCCATGTGTATGTGGCTTCTTAGGGTATCCTTACTGCTAACTTATTTTTATTTTAATGTGATTATCTGGCAGAAGGGAAGACAAGCAGAAACTTGTTCTTACGGTTATATTTTTCTTTAGAAAATACCCTGCACTTCTTATGGCGTGAAATTGTTACATCTGAGGGTTTGAAACTCTACTACAATCCGTATACAGGCTGGTAAGACAAACTTCATGTGCTTGGTATTAAAAATAAATATTATGAAAACCTGTATGAGATTGGTAGCATATGTCTTTAGCTTTGACAGTAATCTTAAAAAGGAATACTAAGTTAAAGTCTTCTTAGACTTCATATTTTTACCGTTTTTATAGGTAGGACAAACATGAAATTAATAGTGCTTGTCATTTTTCAGTAAATGAATGCAATATGATAGACTTAAGATGCTTAGTTATTGACATTTAAAGAGATTATAATTTTAATATTATGGGCCAATTTTTATATTTTCATTAAATTTGTTAATTTCTATTATAAAAGTCTTAGGAATCATTAAATATAATAACATAATGGGTGAATCGGTAGTTATTGTCCTCCTTACTTTTTTTATTCACAGACACAAAAGAAGGCAGACATGCTTCCTGTTATTTATAGAAGAGAAAAAAATGATGGGCATTTACCAGTACCACTCCTGTTTCTGCAGACTTAGTTGTCAGCTCGGGCAGTTTTTTATTCATGACCTAGGGTTTCAGATTGTTTCACCCTAAAATGTAGTTTAAAAAAAACTTAGACTTTTATGGATTTCTTCCAGTTTTCTTTAGGAATAGTATAATTTTTACTTGCATTCCTGTAATATGTTTTTCTTGGTTTTTTCTTTAGCATCATCCGTGATTACCCAAATGCTGGGCCACAGTTGCTTGGTGGAATCTTAGCAGATGAGATGGGTCTCGGAAAGACAGTGGAGGTTTTGGCTCTGATTCTGACACATACTCGGCAAGATGTCAAACAAGATGCTCTCACTCTTCCTGAGGTAGGAGGAGTACCATAGGCTGAGAAAGCAGGGGACATATGTTCTCAAAAAGCATCATATGGCCAACATTTGCTTGGCACTTAAGCCAACACTCCGTTTACTCAGGCTAATGATTTTTACAAGTTATTACTTAACTTCAAGTGGGCACAGAGAATAGGATGTTTGTGACCTGGCAGGGTTTTTGTAAGTGATGTTGGCCAAGTAGGATGGGGTTATCCTGTCACCAAGCTTCCTTCTAGTTGGCAGGGAAACTCTTAGGAAAGTACTGTTACTTCCTCAAATGTTTGGTCAGTACTGTAAGCCTCCAGATTACCATTAAATTTTTTTGAGTGATTTTTTTTTTAATTGTACAAATCACAGATACGTAAATCATAGAATCTAATAATTCGTACTTGGATTGCTAAATAAATCAAACTCTTAAGTCCTTGTTCCAAAATATATAATTATGTTTAAAAATACAAATTTTAGAGTTTATGGGGGGGGGAGAAAAACAGCTCCACTGAGGCAGATGCAGCTCATAGCTCATAATTTCCAATAACCAAATCTAAAATCAACACACTAGTTAACGGTATAATTGATTACCAGTAGGGCCCATTGTGCTCACAACTTTAGTGATAATGTGATCTTCTGATAGGGTCAGGTTTGCAAAGTTAACCTTGTAGATTTGAGTATGGAATAGAAAATATCTATTGTTAAAAAAAAATGAGTTGGAATATATAGCAGTTAACTGTGGGTAACTTCTATATTAGTTCCATATTTAAACAAGCCTTTAAAAGTTAATTTCAGAAGTTCCACACTTAACATTTAGGTAATTTAAGATAATATGTACGGGCACCTGGGTGGCTCAGATGGTTAAGCGTCTGCCTTCAGCTCAGGTCATGATCCCAGAGTCCTGGGATCGAGTCCCGCATCAGGCTCCCAGGGAGCCTGCTTCTCCCTCTCCCTCTGCCTCTCTCTCTCTCTCTCTCTCTCATGAATAAATAAATAAAACATTTTTAAAAAAATTAAAGATAATATGTACAATTTTAAAAAGTGATGGCTAGCAGTAAGCCCTGAGATAAAAAATAAGGTTTGTACGTATGAATAGCATTTTAGCTCTTTCTCTCATCATTTTTTACAACTCTCTTGCATCTCCTTAATAGAAGGAGGGTTAATTTTAATAAGCAATTCCAGTTACTGAAAGCAAAACACTGTGTGACTACTGAATGTTGTTTATATCAGGGAAAAGTGGTGAATTATTTCATTCCATCACATTATTCTGGAGGAAAAGTAAAAAACACAGAAACCCAGAATATGGAATTTGAACCAAAAGAAAAAGTTCAGTGCCCCCGTAAGTATGAAATCTCTTAAAGAAAATACCTTTTACAGTCATCTTTGTTACAGTTCTTATTCCTTATATGGAGCTATCTTGTTATGAATAATTGTTTTCATAGTCGTTTATACTTTGTATAAATGGAGTCAATTACAAGTCATGTTATCTTAACAAAACTAAAGGTTTATTCTTTCAATTGATTGCTTCAGTCTTTTTTAGTCTAGTTAGTTCTTGTTCAGTCTTTTATATTTGAATTTCTTTATCTTACATTTTAAACCAGGCTTTAGCTAACTTCAGATTCTGCTAGCAAATGAATGTTTCCCTTACTATGGTAGCATATACATAGATAATTGTGAGAGGTTTTTTAAAATACAATTTTAAATGATAGTAGCTTTGTAAGATTAACAAATTAATGAGTAATTCTTCCTTAAATTATTTCCACTACAGTAATTTATTAATGTGTTGAGATAAATTTTTATTACATATTCTTCAAAATGATGGTATACAGACAACATATCTTCAGTAAATCTGTTTTATTTTTTCTTAACTTAGTTCTCAATGCATATTAAGATTAATTGCATTCTATTTTTTTTAATTTTAATTATTTTGACTGAGTTAGCATATCCTTTTGCATGTAGCTACACGTGTGATGATCCTGACAGCTGTGAAAGAAATGAATGGAAAAAAAGGAGTGTCCATCCTTTCCATCTATAAGTATGTCAGTTCTATATATAGATATGATGTTCAGCGGAACAGGAGTCTTCTGAAACGGATGCTGAAATGTTTAATTTTTGAAGGTCTTGTGAAACAGATCAAAGGCCATGGTTTTTCTGGAACTTTTACATTGGGGAAGAATTACAAGGAAGAGGATATATATGATAAAACAAAAAAGCAGGTAACAGAACATTTGTTAAGTTGCTGTATGAGATGCATTATGGAAGGCATTGACAGATCCCACTTGATACAGAGGCTCTTAGAGACTGAAGGTAAAAAACAAACCTAGAAAATCACATATGGCTGTAATTTATCTTTTCTGCTTCCTGAATATAAGTTTCATCAGAGTAGAAACATTTTGTTTACTAAACCCAGAGAAGAGTGCTTGGCACATAGCAAATACTCAATAAATATTTGCTGAGTGAATTATATTAGTGGGTTAAGCATATTATAAAGTTTAAAATAACTCTAAAGAATATATTTCTCTCTCACTCAAATAAATAAATAAAATCTTTTAAAAAAAAGAATACATTTTTTAAAGAGGAAAAAGTAAGTAAAACAACTCTATTTTCATCATGCTGTTGTCAGCAGTTAAAAAATCTGTTCTGTAGTTGTTTGGTTTTTTTTAAGATTTTTTTTATTTGTTAGAGAGGGAACACAAGCAGGGAGAGCGGCAGGCAGAGGGAGAAGCAGGCTCCCCGCTGAGCAAGGAGCCCGATGCGGGACTCGATCCCAGCACCCTGGGATCATGACCTGAGCTGAAGGCAGACGCTTACTGACTGAGCCACCCAGGCATTGTTCTATAGTTTAAAAATATCAGATACCTTACATTTGCTTAGCTCTTTATATACATTTTCAGTTTTTTATGTAAATTCTCATTTTTCCCATATTACCATCTTAACGCAATTTTAACATTTTGTTATAAAACTGCTTTTTTGGCGCTATTAATTTCAAACTTGCTTTTTAAAAAAATTCGTTATATAGCTGTGCATACATAAATCAGGTAAAGGGGCACTTGGCTGGCTCTGTCAGAGCAGCATGTGACTCTTGATCTTGGGGGTCATGAGTTCAGGCCCCACGTTGGGTATAGAGATAACCATAAATAAATAAACGAACTAACTTTAAAAAAATAAATAGGGGCGCCTGGGTGGCTCAGTTGGTTAAACATCTGCCTTCAGCTCAGGTCATGATCTCAGGGTCCTGGAATCGAGCCCCGCATCGGGCACCTAGCTCAGCGGGGAGTCTGCTTCTCCCATTCCCTCTCCCTCTATGATCTTTCTCACTTTCTTTCAAATAAATAAAATCTTTAAAATAAATAGATAGGTAGATAGGTAAATAAATTAATCGGGTAAAGAAAGAATGATGACAACAAGTCAAAGTGTGGGGCTACCAGCTTGTCTACTATAAAAGAAATGGCAGATTAAAAAGTTCATTTTCTGGAGTAGGGAGTCTCCCAACATTTTCCCCAGCCAGAGTAGAAGGCTGCAATGAACTACTGTGTTTCTAGTAATCCTTCTGTCACCAGAAAAGGAAAATCTTCAATTAATGCCATTCATTTCATTTTAAGTGTCCCTACTCCTCTGTTCAACCTCACCTCTGACATCACTTCTGGGAAGCTGTTGCTGGCGCCTACCTCCCCGTCACAGCCCCTCTGTTATATATCCCCCTTACACATTCCTGTACCATCATTTCACTTTTTATGTTCTTCCATTTCCAACAGACCCCCTTGGAGCCCAGGAGCTAAATCGTCCTCATATTTCTATCCCCAGCATCTAACACTATGCCTGGCACAAAATTGGCATCCAGTAAATAATTTCAGGAGGGGACACAGAAAGGACAAAGAAGGAATTTATTTGCTAATTGCAGTAACTAGTAGATTAGTTTTCACTTTCTTTAAATTAGTACTTGGTATGTTTATAATGGCCCTAGTTTGTATATTTATGTATTATAAATATACTAGTCTTTAATTGATTAAGACAAACTATAAATTATAAGAGGTTAATGTCAAAATATTAGTAGCTCCCTATCTTTCTAATTTTTATTCTCTTCAAATTTTACTTACACAGTAGTAGAGCCTTCCTTTTTAGACCTACACACTACAGAGGGCAGATTGAAAGCCACTGATCAGGAATGGTTCGCCCCTGGGAAAATGATAGCAGAGTGGTGATTGGATTTTTATGGAAAACTCATAAATAAGGTTGGGAATTTAATTTCAGAAATGTAATTATGTTGAAATAAATTAAATAATATTTTTCATAGGCAGTAGGGAGTCCAAGGAAAATTCAGAAAGAATCCAGAAAATCAGGGAGCAAAGACACAGATTCTGAATACTTGCCATCAAACACATCTGATGATGATGATGATGATCCTTACTATTATTACTATAAGGCTCGGAAAAATCGAAGTAAATTCAGGAAAAAGCCTGTTCCATCCACAAAAAAGGGAAAAGGTCAGCCTAACATCAATCTCAATTCACAAGATCACTGTCCAGCTACCAGTGACTCTGGAATTACTGATGTTACCACATCTAAAAGTACATGTGTCTTTGAAGGAAAGCAAAAACATGCAGCAGAGGACCAAGCTGAATCTCTAAACTCTGCTGATGGTGATGTGCCACAGTCTACTGTCATGAGTCCCTGTAATTCCTCTGATTATCGCTTTGAGTGCATTTGTGGTGAACTTGACCAGGTAGACCGTAAACCTCGTGTTCAGTGCCTGAAATGCCACCTGTGGCAACATGCAAAATGTGTGAATTATGAAGAGAAGAATCTGAAGATTAAACCTTTTTACTGCCCCCACTGCCTTGTTGCGATGGAGCCGGTATCAACCAGAGCAACTCTGATCATCTCGCCCAGTTCCATCTGTCATCAGTGGGTGGATGAAATCAACAGGCATGTGAGGTCATCATCTCTTCGAGTCCTGGTAAGGCAGTTTGGGCTCTTGAAAGGGATAGGAAAATGTCCATTTTTGCTTCCTTGTGGTAATTTTTAGAATCTTTGTCACTGTTGTTTATCCCAAAAATTAACTTAATGAGATAATATGAAATCAGAACTTGAAGAGGAAATTGAGAATAAGAAATAAAACAGATTCTGTATTCTTGTCTGACATCAGAAGTTCAGAAGTTAAAGCACTTTCAGTGAAAAGATGTGAAAGCTTTTGAAAAAAATTCATCATGTAAATAAACAAAAAAGACTTCATACGCACATTTATGCTCTCAGACAGAAATACAGTCCAAAGGCAGCATTGTGTAACAGTAGCTACTTGTCTGATCTCTACCCCTCAGCTCCAGAATCGGTCTCTGAAGCCTCAGTTACCTCATCTTTAAAATAAGAATTTACTCATTCAACAAATATTTATTGAGCACCTGTAATGTACTAGGAACTCTGCTAAGTTCTAAAAATAGTACCCCTTCACAGACTTACTGTGAAGGTTAAATGATTTGCTAAAGTGCTGGTACATAGTACGTTGTAATTTACTAATGTTAGTATTCTTTTTTTGTAATTGAAGTATAGTTGACATACAATGTTTTATTAATTTCAGGTATATAACAGTGAATCGACAATTCTGTATATTACACTGTGCTCACCATGATAAGTGTAGTTACCATCGGTCACCATGCAACGTTATTAGAGTATTATTGACTGTATTACCTATGCTGTACTTTTCATCCCTGGGACCTAGTTATCTTGTAACTAGAAGTCTGTACTTCTTAATTCTCTTCACCTGTTTCACCCACCCCCTCAATTCCCACCACTCTGGCAGCCAACAATTTGTTCTCTGTATTTATACTGTTTTATGTTTGTTTGTTCATTTGGTTTTTTAGGGTTCCACATACAAGTAAAGTATGGGATTTATCTTTCTCTGTCTGACTTACTTCGTTGAGGCTAATACCTCTAGGCCCAAGTTGTCACAAATGGCAAGATCTCATTCTTTTTTATAACTAATATTCCACTGTATATATGTATATACCACATCTTCAGTTTCTGTCGTCAATGTCTTAATAGTTTTCAGGTACAGGTTTTTCACCTCCTCAGTTAAATTTATTCCTGATATTTTTTTCTTTTTGGTATAACTATAAATGGGATCATTTTCCTAATTTCTCTTTCTGTTACTTTTTTATTAGTGTGTAGAAGTGCAACAGATTTCTGTATATTAATTTTGTATCCTGCAATTTTACTGAATTCGCTAACTGGTTCTGATAGTTTTTAGGTGGAATCTTTAGGGTTTTTTATATATATACTATTATGTCATCTGATAATAGTGACAGTTATACTTCTTTCTTACGAATTTGGATCAATTTGGGTGCCTTTTATTTCTTTTTCTCATCGGATTGCTACAGCTAGGACTTTCAGTACTATGTTAAATAAAAATAGTAAGAACAGACATCCTTGTCTTGTTCTTGACCCTAGAGGGAAAGCTTTCAGTTTTTAACCATTGAGTACGATGTTAGCTGTGGGTTTGTCATATATGGCCTTAACTATGTTGAGGTATGTTGCCTCCAAACCCATTTTGTTGAGTAATGTTAGTATTCTTCACTCCCTTTGTTCTTCTTTCCTTCTTTCCACACAAATGTCATTTAAGGTTTTTGATATTTCTGCTACTGTCATAGACATGGAGAGAGAATACACTAATAAGTAAAACATCATCTTTGCCATTGAGGAGCTCTGTTTTGTGGGGTAGATAAACCTTGGTTTGAATCTAAGCTCTGCCAGTTTTGAGCAAGAAACTTCATGTTTCTTATGTGTGGGATAGGAGTAGTAACAACTACTAACAAGATTTTTCCTGAAGATAGGAGATAAAGCTCAGCATAGTGTCTGCAACATAAAAGGCATTCAGTAAATTATAGCTCTTACTGTTCTACTTCTTCGTACCTTTGTGCTTTTGCATCTGCCTTTCTACCCTTGCTCAAACGTGGGAGAACTCCTAAATGTTTTTCATGATCCACCTCAAATTTTCACTCCTCTCTGAATTTACCTTCTCAGTTCCAGCATTAGTCTTTCCACTGTGCTTACCATTTTTACTTCTGTTATATTTCCTTTCACATTGCTTATGTCATTGGTCTTTCACCCTAAAATGTATCTTCTCTAGGCATGTGTGGAATGTATCTCATAGCATGTTTGGTACTAAACAAATAGAAAGGGCTCAGTAAGGATATAAAAGAATGAATATATTAGTTATTTTTGATGAGCCTTTCTGCAGTAATTGTGTCTGTGCTGATTATTTCCTAGGTATACCAAGGAGTGAAGAAAGATGGTTTTTTACAACCTCATTTTTTGGCAGAACAGGATATAGTTATCATTACTTACGATGTCCTTCGTTCAGAACTAAACTATGTAGATATCCCACATAGCAATAGTGAGGATGGGCGTCGCTTACGGAACCAGAAGCGCTATATGGCCATTCCCAGCCCCCTAGTAGCTGTGGAGTGGTGGAGGATCTGCCTTGATGAAGCCCAGATGGTTGAATGTCCTGCTGTAAAAGTGAGAATTTTTGCAAAATCTTTTGAGCACTGGGGAAGAAAAAAGAGGAAAGAGATTGGGGAAGCTGTCCATAAAAAAATTTAGTAATTTAAGTGTAATTGACCCACAGTATTGATATTGGCCAAAAGTTTGCTGTTAAACACACGACGTTTGCTTTTTTCTTGTGCCATGAACTATATAACCCTTAGGAATTATCTTGGTACTATGTGAATTATTACTCTATATGCAATGCCTGTGTGTATTTGAATAAGATGGCAGTTTATGTGTGGTGCAGAGGAAAGTAAACTCTGTTTAGGGACTTTTATAAGCATTTCTGCTAAGTGGAAAGCTCATCATGTAGGCCCTCATAGCTTTGGGCTGAAGTTAACTTCGGCAGTTTTTTATCAGAGAGACCATATCATAACAGACCATGCTACTTTAGAGGGAGTATTGATTCAGCCTTTGTTCGTCATATATCTTTATTCCATCTTTGGCCAGTTTGTAACCTGAACTCAATTTATGAGTCTCATCTGTTAATACATTGTTCACATCTGAAGGATGGGGTGGCTTAGGGGATGTGTCAATCATTCAGGGAGCCTTTTCATTCTGCATGAACTTGAACTACCCTTCCTCTTTTGGGGAGGGCACATGGCAGCCTGCTACTAACGAGAGCCACTGTGCTAGAAGATGACCCATTGGTTTTGACGTTCAACTTTGAGTGTGATAACTGTTGAATGTGTCTGACCTGAAGCATAGCTTGTCATGGGCTGTTCTCAGGAGTAAACATATTCCTGATTTTCTCTTTTTTTTCTTTTTTATTCCATATTTATCTTTCATTAGGCTGCAGAAATGGCTCAGCGCTTGAGTGGGATTAATCGCTGGTGCATCAGTGGTACTCCAGTGCAGAGAGGATTGGAGGGTAATGTGTGCTTTCCTCACATTTTGCATGTATTTGAAAAGCTTGCTTTTCTGAAGAACAAGTATGTTTTACCTTTGTTGAAATCCTTACTTAAGTGATTGTACAATGTATTTGTATTTCACTCCTAGTGGTTTCAAGCATTGTCTATTTAAATGGGATTAGGTGGTTTTTGTTTTTATTTATGAGGACAGATAACACAGTGAGTAGTCCCATAGTCCTAAGTCCAACAGTCATTATGCCCTCCTCAGCAGTGGAGATGCAGGTCTCAGTTGAACTCAGTTCCAAAGTGGTAGGTAGAAAACAGAGAGAACCTAACAAAGAGAGGGAAAAGGAATTAATTTCAATTGGCTGTATCTATAAAAATAAAGATCATAATTTTCATTGGCTGATCCATAAATAGTGGGATCACAATTTTATTAATTATAAAAGTTATGGGGCGCCTGGGTGGCTCAGTCATTGGGTGTCTGCCTTTGGCTCAGGTCATGGTCCCAGGGTCCTGGGATCGAGCCCCGCATCGGGCTCCCTGCTCCGCGGGAAGCCTGCTTCTCCTTCTCCCACTCCCCCTGCTTGTGTTCCCTCTCTTGCTGTCAAATAAATAAAATCTTTTTAAAAAATTATAAAAGTTATAAAGTATTCATAGCTTTATAATACCACTCCTTATGCTTACAGTGTCATTCCTTCAACTGTTCCTCTTGGACATTTATATTGTGTCGAGTTCTCCCCACTCCCACACATGCATTATAACTCATGCTTCTACACTCATCTCACTCATATTACTTATTTTTCTAAAGAGCGGACACTGCATTTTTAGAAATTTTATTCAAGTTGTGAATATTTAAAAGTTTTATTAAATGTTTTACATAATAAATTTTCAGAAAAGCAGTCATTAAAATGTAATTATAAAATGTAGATAGTCTCGAAGTCTTGAACAAATGTTCATCCTTAAAACCTGTGTTTCTTAAAAAAAAATCTTTCTGAAAATTCAGGCTTTCGTACATTGTTTTCAGTAGGATAACTTGTCACTTTTTTAAAATAAAAATATCAGTGTTCATTACTATGATCTGAAAACAATTTTTGATGATTATTTTTAGGGACAAAATGTTTTCTAGGAAGATTTTAAGCATGTATTTAAATATTTGTATAATTTTAGTAAATTACATTAAGATACCTATTTATATGATAATATCAGGCTAATTAAAAGGCCAAATTTAGTGGTCTGCTATTACGTTTGGAAATTGCCCAAATTATAGATGTTTAGTTGTTAATAAGATCTCATTAGACTCAAACATTAGCTGAGAGGGTATACAAGAAAAAGAAAATGACTATCAGAGTTACGTTTTTCTAATTTTAACATTGAAAGAATAAGAACAGTAATTCCTCAGTTTCCTGGGGAGGTTATTTTGGATATGTAAGGTGTTGGCAGGTGTTTAAGCACTTATCACCATTTAACAAATTCTTGAATATTTTTTTTAATTCCAGTATAATTATCATCTAGTGTTACATTAGTTTTCGGTGTACAGTATAGTGATTGAGCAGTTATATATGTATACATTACTCAGTGCTCATCACAGTAAGGGTACTCTTAATCCCCTTCACCATTTCACCCATCCCCGCACCCACCTCCCCTCTGGTAACTGTCAGTTTGTTCTCTGTATTTAAGAGTCCATTTTGTTGTTTGTCTTTTTTATTAATTTGTTCATTTTTCATTGTTTTGTTTCCTAAATTCCACATATGAGTGAAATCCTATAGTATTTATCTTTTTCTGACTGACTTATTTCACTTAGCATTATATACCCTCTAGGTCCATTCATGTTGTTGCATATGGCAAGATTTCATTCCCTTTTTTATGACTTAGTAATATTCCATTGTGTATATATACACATATACACACACCACATCTTCTTTATCTATTCACCTGTCAATGGACAGGCTGTTGTAAATAGTGCTGCAATAAATGTAGGGATACATATGTCTTTTTGAATTAGTGTTTTTGTTTTCTTTGGGTAATTACCCAGTAGTGGAATTACTGGATCATATGATAATTCTGTTTTTCATTTTTTTTTTTGAGGAACTTCCATACTGTTTTCCACAATGGCTGCACCAGTTTGCATTCCTAACAACAGTACACAAGATTTTCTTTTTCTCTGCATCCTTGCCAACATTGATTGTTTCCTGTGTTTTTTATCTTAGCCATTCTGACAGGTGTGAGGTGATATCTCATTGTGGTTTTGATTTGCATTTCCCTGATGATAAGTGATGTTGAGCATCTTTTCATGTGTCTGTTTGCCATCTGTATGTCTTCTTTGGAGAAATGTCTGTATAGCTTTATTTTTTTTATTTTAAAGATTTTATTTATTCATGAGAGACAGAGAGAGAGAGAGAGAGAGGCAGAGGGAGAAGCAGGCTCCCAAGGAGCAGGGAGCCCGATGCGGGACACAATCCCAGGACCCTGGGATCGTGATCTGAGCCGAAGGTAGACGCTTAACCGTCTGAGCCACCCAGGCACCATGTATAGTTTTATTGAGGTATAAATGACATATAATAAAACTGTAAATATTTAAAATATAAAATTTATAAACTTTTGACATACATATATACCCATGAATCTATTTACACAGTTATGATGATCAGCCCCAAAAGTTTCCTTAAGCCCAAGTTACTTGAAAAAGAACTTTTCTAAAACTTTCTGGAAGTAGGTTCTTTCCTCTTTGCTTCCATAATTCTCTGATGTCTTTATGATTCTTCATTGTATCTCTTCTTTTTGTAGTTGTTGTAGTAGAAATCTTAGCCTGCCAGGACTTACTATGTTATAGTTGAAAGTGGAAATCTCACTTGTTTTCTTTTGATGTTAGAACAGGGTTTCTCAACCTGGGCCCCGTTGACATTTGGGGTTGGATAGTATTTTTTGTTGGGACCTGTCCTATGCATCTTAGGATATTTAGCTTCCACCCACTAGATGGCAGTAACACTCCTGAAATTGTGACACCTACAAATGCTTTTTAGACATTGCCAAATATCCCCTCCGGGGCAAAGTTGTACCTCTCCACAACAACCAGGTTGACCACATATTGAGTTGTATGTCCATAAAGAAATTACATAAACATTCACATTTTTATTTTCCCTAATTTGTAAAGTAAGATGTTTTAAGATTAATTATAATAAAGTGTACAAAGCATTTAGCACACTACCTGCCAGGTATTAAATATTCAATAAATGGTAGCTGCTTTCACTGCTGCTTTTGTTGTTGTTATTATTTACTTATATATTCATGTATTCATTTTAGCTTCTTTGGAAGTGTTGATTCTAAATTATTTAAATACTTTGTGGTGCATTTATTGGTTCATTTATTTTTTGTAAAGTATAATAGCAAAAACAGACAAGGTCTCTGACCTTCTTCAGCTTACAGCTTAAAGGGGAAGATATATTTATTAAGTATTTATTAAGTACTTAGACAAATATAAGATTGCAGTCAGGATGACTTTTATGTATGAAATAATTATAAAATTCAAACTATAATAGGCTTCGGAAAAGATGTCTGGTTCTGTAATATCACCTAATAGGGATACAGAAGGAAGTGATGGCGGGCGTCTGGGTGGCTCAGTTGGTTAAGAAGGAAGTGATGGCTGAGCCAGGATCTGAAATATTAATATGAGCTAGGTAAAGAGGGATTCTTAACAAAGAATTCTCTGGTGTTAAGGGAGTAAAATATAAAGATGATCAGGCAGGAGGAGAACAGACAATAGGGTAAAGAGAATTCTTAACAAAGAATTTTCTGTTGTTAAGGGAGTAAAATATAGATGATCAGGCAGGAGGAGAACAGAAGGAAATCAGTGTGGCTATAATACAGAGAGCTAGGGAAAACACAGTAGGTTGAGAGACTGAATAGATGGATGTAGACCAGACCATGGAGAATTCTGTAGGCCATGATAAAGAATTTTATTTATTTTCTTACAAATAGTAGGAGCTATTGAAAGGATTTAAACAGAGTGGTTGGGGATCATCTCAGTTGGCTACAATAAGTGATCTAGATAAGTGAAGTTTGCACTGTGGATTTGAAATAGGACTGTCCTGAAAAAATGGAAAAAAGCGGATAAGAAAAAAATAAGGTTTAACAGTGATCAGGAGATGCTAAGACTTCTGACTTGCATCCATGGACAGTGACAGTATTTACCAATGAATAGCACTAGAAGAGAAGCATGTTTGGGCAAAGAGATTATGAATTTGATTTTGGCAAGTTGAGTTTGAGGCACCTTTGGGACCTCAGAGAAGAGGTAGCACATAGGCAGCTGGATTGATTTGAACAGAAATATGTATATAATATATCCATCAATATCTGCATATAGGCAGTATGTCTTTCAGATGTTAACTAACTCTCAGAAGTCATCAAAGTAACTTAATTCAACCTAAATATTTGTTGGGTGTATTCAGAATAAATGCATGGCCTTTTTGTAAAAACAATTTTCATGGTTTCTAAAGAGAATACAGCCAAATGTGAACATGTTTAACAATATAGAAAAATATAAAGAAAATTATACTCAACCACAATCTTCATTTGAAGATATAACCACTATTCCATTCTTTTTTATATAAATATATATATATCCTCAAACTACATCATTTTATATTCTTTTTTTCATCGTATCCTAAGCAGTTTTCTGTTTTAAAAATTCGTCATAAATATGAAAACCGCATAGGGTGTAGTGTTAAGTGAGCAGAAAATGGCATATAAAATTGTGCCCAATCATGAAATATATAAGAAGTACCATGCAGTAAATCTAACAAACATAAGACCTGCTGGATCAGAAAAAGAAAGCTTTTGTCTTACTGAGAATACTACATAATTTATTTTATCATTCCTTTATTTGAGTCATTTTTCTTCTGTTTGTTGTTGCTATGAATATCACCATGTGGGTTAATCTTGTCTCTATTTTTTATCATTGTTTTAGTTTTATTTCCCCAAAGTAGAATAATTAGACCAAAAAGTGTAGTGAGTATTGGATCAGTGAATGTTCTTCATATCACCTATGTCATTCAGACTTATTTTAAAATCCAGCAAGTCTTGCATCCGGTAGTTCCAGCGTCTGACTCTTCTTATATATTTCTTGATCAGGCTCACACAAGTGAGTCATTTTCTAGTTCCCACTTCTGACGGAAATTCCAGACTTTTGAATTAAGTTTGTGTAATGGTTTCACATTTTAGCTACTAGCATAAAATCTAGATGAAAATAAATACCCAACAAATGTGGAATTAACTTTCAGATGCAAGAGTCTATACAATCTGCATTTTAATTCATGGAAAATACTGTGTACTGTATAATGTCTGTTAAAGTGGCTATTCAAAACAGTAATGAGGAAATATAGAAACAGTTTTCAATGTGCTTTTTTCTTGTTTTCTTCTCAGATCTTTTTGGGTTGGTGGTCTTTCTTGGTATTGAACCTTACTGTGTCAAACACTGGTGGGTTCGACTTCTTTATCGCCCTTACTGCAAGAAGAATCCTCAGCTCCTCTACAGCTTTATTGCCAAGATACTATGGAGGTCTGCAAAGAAAGATGTGATTGACCAAGTCAGTAGGATTAAGTTTTTACTGATTATGGAGATTACAAGAGAAGAGAAGCAAGAGTTGGGATGGAAAGTTAAATATTCAGGTGAAATCATTTTTTTCTTGTCCCTGCAGATCCAGATACCCCCTCAGACAGAAGAAATCCACTGGCTTCACTTTTCTCCAGTGGAAAGACATTTCTATCACCGTCAGCATGAAGTGTGCTGCCAGGATGCTGTAGTAAAACTCAGGAAGATTTCTGACTGGGCGCTGAAGCTCAGCAGCCTGGACAGAAGGACTGTTACCTCCATCCTGTATCCATTGCTGAGGCTCAGGCAGGCCTGCTGCCACCCACAGGCTGTTCGTGGGGAATTCTTGCCACTCCAGAAAAGGTTTTATTATCAGTTTCCTTATACTGCAATTGATAATATAGTAGTGATAGTGTTTAAGGTATTAGCCCACAGTTTCATTCAGGGTATTATAACAGAGTTGTCATTTATTTTTAGTAATGTGGTTTTTCTTTGGTGTGGGGCCCCATTTATGAAAAAGAGTCCCATTATCAAAATTATTTTCATGGTTTTGGACATTTAAAGTTAGGACTATTTTGGGCTTTTGTTGTTTTGTTCTGGGTTTTTTTGCTACACTTCAGGCTTTTGTTCTTATTATATTTTTTGGTTCCCACATCAGGGAATTAGATGAGTTAGATTACTATTACATATTTTCTTTGTAATTGTGCTAAGTCTATCTGTTTGATTATTTCATCCTAATATATTAAGGTATTTATGTCCACAGTAGTCTGTTATCCCAGAAAGTTTTCATTCATCAGACTGTGACTCAGCAACTGGCCTTTTTTTTTTAGCACCTGGTATTAAAAAGACAAGGTATTATTAAAAAATATGAAGAGGAATTATATTTTTGTCTTTGCCCTTACACAGTTTGTGGACAACTAAAGGAGATGACAGAGATTATAAATTTCTATAATGTAAGGCAAAACAAACATATTTCATAAGAGGTACATATAAATGGCTATGGACAGTTAGAATGTGGAAATAATTTCTATATAAATGATTCATGTTAGCCTTTTGGTGGAAATGGCATTTGATCTGGTCCTTGAAGAATCATCTTTTTTTGTTTTTACAGATAAAAAGAAATTAAGGCTCATGGAGATTAATTAAATTATAATGCTAGGGATTCAGACTTAATCTTACCTTCTGAAACCCATACTGTTTCAAATATATCATGTTGTACCTTGTATTTTAGGAAGATTTTTCTAGTTCCCTTCTCTATTGAGATAAACTGGGAAAAAGGAAAGTGATGGGATCAGATAGAAGAATGCTTGCTAAAATATTAAGAGGTAATTGAATTAAAAGTGATAGTGGTAAAAATGAAGGTGAAGAGAAAGATCCTGAAGATTCACAAAGACTCTATAAGGGTACTCTTGATACTATGTGATGAAATACTCTCACCCATAGGATTTTCTTTTCAGTTCTGAACAATCTGCTTTCTCTTTTAGCACTATGACAATGGAAGAGCTGCTGACATCTCTGCAGAAGAAATGTGGAACTGAATGTGAAGAAGCACATCGGCAACTAGTTTGTGCTCTCAATGGCTTAGCAGGCATCCACATCATTAAAGGTAGAAGGTGATTGCTTTGTTATCTCTGATTCTTCTAAATATTTAATGAGACAGATTAGTTATAGTAGAAATCAAAATCCCCTGAAGAAAGACATTCTCACACACTATTGATCTTAATTTAGATAGGTTCGACCATATGGAGAGCACTTACGCTGAACATTTGAAAAACCCTTCAAAGTTTATATATGCTTTCACCAAACCCTTCCACTTTAGAAGTTTGTTATTGTTGTTTAGGAAAGGTAGGTTCCGAACAAAAATTTGGCAATAAATTATTAACCTTAGTCTATAGTAGTGAACAACTGAAAACAAGCAAAATATCTAGGAATAGAAGAATGTTTAAATTTTGACACATTTAGGGGATCTTAGTCATCAATTTACAAAATAATATTGTTCGTAAATTCATTCTTTCAATACATATTAGAGTGTCTGCTCTGCACCAGTTATGATCTCAGTATTAAAGTACAGTAAAGCTGAGTAAGGTCTTTGATCTCGTGGACCTTAAGTTCTTAACAAGGAGAGATAGACAAATATACATTGTGTATGGTTATAGTTATACTGTTACACATTATGCACAAAATTTAAGCATGTTAAAAGGGAATCTTATATTTCATGGAAAAATGTTTAATTGGTGTTTCTTATCTCTCGGGGGTTACCATTTTTTATTACCTAATGTCTACTGTCTGACAGTCTATTGTTTCAACAGAAAGGAGGGCAAATTCATATTCCCTGTTATTTTGTCATGGCCAAAAGCAGAAGTTATTTAACTAGCTCTTTTAATGAGCACCATTTAGTAAACCCCTTTGCATAGAAATATGAGAATCATCAGGCTGTATTTTGTAGGTTCAAGAGTAAAAACTAAACATGTTAAGTAGAGACATTGAAGCATAAATTTAGACTTCTAAAGATGCAAATTTCAGTGTTTGATATGGAAAATACACTTAATAAATAGATTAGACACTGTAGAAAAAAATCATTAAAATTAAAGAATAAGGTAGCAATAGAAGCCATTCATCATGAAAAACAGACTACAGATTGAAAAATTTGAAAAGAGCATGAGTGAGATTGTAGGTAACTTTAAGTAGTATAATATAAATGTACTGAAGTCTGTGAAGAAGAGAAATATACGAAGAAATACAAAGCTATATTATGAAAATGTATATTATATACGAAGTTATAACTTGAAAATGTCAAGTATAGAACAGTAATAGCACAATATCTGGGAGAATACGTGGATATATAATGTAAACTTTTTTATATATATAAAGTGGCATAATATCATGACAGTAAACTGACAAATCAGTAGACTGTTATATCCCCTAAAACAACTACTGAGAACACAACAAAAAGTTAGAGGTAATAATCTAAAAGATGAGATAAAAAGTAATAATGAAAAATTCTTAATCTAAAAAAAGAAAAAAGTGAAACAGAACAGATGAGACAAATATAAAACAAACGGCAAGATAATAGATGTAAACCCAAGCATATCAGTGGTCACATTAAATGCAATGGTCTAAGTGCCCCTTTAGGCAGAGATTTTCAAAACGGATTTTAAGAAAAGTAATATCTGATAATACACTATGTACAAGAAACCTTCTTTTTATTTAAAGATGCAAATGTAAAAGGATAAAAAAGGATATGCCCTATTAACACTAACCAAAAGAAAGCTGGACTGACTCTATTACCACCAGGCAAGAATATTACCAAGGATACAGTGTTATTCTATCACAGGAAAATAATCCTAAATGTTTATGCACCTAAAACCAAGGCCTCAAAATAAAACACAAACTGATAGAACTACAATGAGAAATGGGCAAATCTACAATTATAGTCAGAGATTTCAACATCCCACTTCCAATTATTGACAGAACAAGAAGACAGAAAATAGAGGCATGGAAAACTCAACACTGACAACCAATTGACATAGTCAGTAGTTATAGGACACTTTACCCCACCAAAGAATACACATTCTTTTCAAGTGCATATGGAATGTTTACCAAGACAGAGCATGTTCTGGGCTGTAAAACAATTCAGTAAATTTAAAAGGATGCAAGTCTTAAAAAGTACATTCTCTGACTACAATGGAATTAAATTAGATGTCAAACAAAAATAACTGCAAAGTCCCCAAATATTTTGAAACTAATTAAAATAATTCTAAGTAATCTTTAGGTTAAAGAATAAATCAGAAGGGAAACTGGCAAGTATTTTGAAGTGAATTAAAATGAAAACAACATTAAGAGTTGTAGAGTCTTGATCAGTAATTAAAGGGAAACTGATAGGACTGAACACCAACTTAGAAAAAAGTTGTAAATCATTGACATCAGCTGATACCTTAAGAAACTAAAAAAACAAAGCAAATGAAATACCATGTCAGCGAAAGACAGAAAATAATAAAGATCAATGCAGGAATCAATTAAAAGGAAAACAAAACCAGTAGAGAGAAACAATGAAATCAAAAGCTGATTCTTTGAGAAGATCGATAGAAAGTTATAAACCTCTAGTCAAACTGCTTAGGGAAAAAGAAAAGACACGGATTACTATTATCAGGAATCAGTAATGAACAAAGCTGTAATCATCAAGACAGTATGGTACTGGCACAAAAACAGACACATAGATCAATGGAACAGAATAGAGAGCCCAGAAATGG